TTTTTTTTTCCCAAAAGGAACACATAAGAAGAGTTTGTATGAATTATGCATTTAGAAGAAGTAATTCACTGCAGCAGGAATTATAATTAGTTGAGAATCCGAAGCTAGTAGCTTCTTGTAAGAATTTCCATTGAGAGAGTTTAGTAAATTAGTCCACAGTGCTTAATTGTCTATACAAGTCAAACTAGAACTGTCTTGCTGCAGCATTTTACAGTCTGATTAAATTGAGCCAAACCGAAGGTTGACATTTTAAAACTTTTACTTTTTGTGGTCTAATCCAGTGAGAATCTTATGATCACTTGCAAAATTGCTCTATTATTTGATCAGATTATCCCTTCAGCAATCTAATGTGTTCTTGACTTTATCCTTTTATTTCAGGTGTTCCTGCAGAGAAAGAGAAGCACTTGACAGGGGTGTATGATTTAGTTGCTGTCTTAACTCACAAGGGTGAAAGTGCCGATTCGGGGCATTATTGCGCGTGGATTAAGCAAGAAAACGGTTAAGTGTCCAAAATAGACTGCCATTTTTTTCTTTTATTTTATTTTTGTATAAAGTAGCATTTTTCAGATGTATGTTATTCTAAAAACTTGTGTTTTTCACAGGAAAATGGGTTGAATTTGATGATGATAATACGATTCTTCACGGAGAGGAAGATATTACTAAGCTCTCGGGAGGCGGTAAGGGCTTTTGCATCAACTGCCTCTTTTCTCTTGTAATTGTGCAATAAATCAGTACAAAAAGTATCCCTAAATTTTGATTATCTCATAAATTACCCCCTTAAGCTATATTAAAGCATTGTCGGATTCATTACAAATAGCAAAACAATTCTGAAGAGGGTATATATGTATGTCACTTTTGAAAAATAGCTGATGCTTTTCTAACCTCAATTTTTTTTATTTTTTTTTTAATTATTAAACACAACATCAAATTGTTGGAGAACATAAAGGCCTTATAATAAAGATATATCCATTAATGAGAAAACTTAATTGTTTTCGTTTTCAGGTGACTGGCACATGGCTTATATTTGCATGTACAAGTCTCGTGATGTTTTCATGTAAGTGGTTTGTTCTGGGATTGATGCTCGTTTCGTTGTTCAGAGGTTTCTGTACTTCGCAAAAGCTGTTCGTTCCGTCATTAGAGGTCAAATTATTATGCTGAGTCGGGCCTTTTGCGACAAACTATGTGTGTAGAACTTCATTTTTCTCGTTGTCTTTAGTCTAATGTTTTGTGACTGAGAAAATAGAATACACTCAGAATATGCAAGCTTGTCTGAAAAAAATTTAAAACTTGATCGGGAATCTTGAATTGCCCGTGTATATATACTTCAAACTTCAACCAACTTCAACTGTATAAGCCTCAGAAAGCATGATGACCTCTTTTCATTACTACCTTAACAAGTTGATATCCTTGGACATATCAAAGCACCAGCAGAACTCGTCAAGGCCCTAACCATTCTCCCGTCGGCCACTTCGAAATTTTGGTCCGGTCGGTAGTTTGGCCGCATCGTCAAACCCTTATCAGCCGACTCCTTAAACGAGGCCCCATTTTCAAGCACGTCGTTTATAGATTTGAACCTGCCGTTTGCACTGCTATCCCATGTGATCTGTGCACCACCACAAATCATATGTATTAGGCGATGATTATTTAGTTAGTAAGATACTTAATCCTCAATCTTGTGTTTGCAAAGGACTGGGGATGATTAGTCGATTATTAACTACCTCTTTATTGTCTCCTTGTGGTGCAATGAAGAGGTTTGCTTGGCTCTTGATGCCAGGGTTCATGCTCCCTCCGAGGGCATATTGTCCCCATCCGAGGTATAGATTGTTGACAACATGGGCATATCCAAATCGAAGCCTACAAAATAATCCATTAACCCAAACGGGATAAATATTAGTTTTTGCGTGTTATTGTACTATATATATGTATGTACCTACCTTGGCATTCTTTGTTGGCAATGCGGGCCGAAATGGTTGAATGCGACCGTGACCCGCATGCTCTTGTCCCGTCTGAACCCATCGTCGTGGCCCAATAGCATGACCTTGTTCTGGAGCTTGAACCGGTTGTTCGAGATCGTGATTCCCGTGGACCCCCGCGTGACGTCAATAAGCCCATCCTGACAGTCGGACAACGT